ATGGAGAAAGATGAAGATTTCCTCTCAGTCCCAGCCATTGTCCTTTATCATGTGGGACAGTTCGATGATGTACTTCCCCTCCTTATACTTCTGACTCAGCTCAAAGGCTTGTTCCTGCAGAGGGAAAGTATACAAAGGTACTTTTATCTCATATGCAACATTATTATAGTTTGCAGAAAAGACAGTATAAATATGTGGGCTGCACATTTGGAACCACTGGTTTAGTACCACACAATAATTTGGAGCACAAACTTGAAACCATCTCAAAAAACATTATTAAATTCTGCATTCATACTGGTGTGTTAAAGGTTATGTCACTCCAGAGGTTATGAACCCACCTCTACTGCAAATCTGCTCACTCTTCTCCATCAATGAATAAATGAAGGGACACACAGGCCATGTGCAATAGATCCATTCAATGCTACAGTGGTGCTATGTGTGGTTGAAAGCTGATGCTGAGCTATAAATTAAAACCCTGTGTCATATGTGTGCATGCTTACATATTTCCAGCCCAGTGTAGTGTGACAGTTTTCACAGTAGATGTCAGCCACAGCATGAAGTCCTGTGAGCAACAGCCTCTCCTCCGCTCGACCACAGCCGACGTTCACCCTGAAACCGAACACAGTGTCGTCAAGCAACAGCTCATCTCCGATTCACAGCGGTGACAAGATTATTTTACCCACGTGCTAAGAGACAATTGGGAGAGTATAATTTATCCACTCCAGTGTCAGACTAATGTTCTAGATAAATTGTTACACTTTATAAATTCCTTAAGAGAAAAAGATTTAAATTCATGCAATAGTCATGTGGAGTAAGTTGCAAACAATTTCAAGTTTCATCTGAGCAAATCCAATTAAAACTTTATAGATGCTGTCGATGAAGTTAAACTAAGTTACTTTGACCATGGGGCCTTGATGCCATAACTTCTTATGTTTAGAGCTTGACTGCTTCTGACCTACTAACCCAGGAGGAGTGTGACAAATGATCTCATCCTACTTCAAGGTCCAATCTGCAGGAAATTCAAATTATCTGTTGACTATCTGTAAACATGTCTGGTCATGGGAGTTAGTTCTCAGAAAGAACTGAACTATTTCTGAAATAAAGTAATGGGAAAACGAAGATCAAAGATTCTCCAACTTCTTTTTGCTTCTAAAAAGTTCCACAAAAATAAACTCATTTTTACCGGTTTACATAGTGATGAATGGAGCTTAACAAAGTTTCGGTTTTTAAAACACTGAAAACATTTGGTCACTGCTTCAAATAAAGTTTTAAAAACATTTCCCCCACAAGTTACTATTGTCCTACATATGTGCAAGGATTCTTTTGTGACAGCAACACAATTAGTTTGATGGTTTCCATTCGGCTGTTAAAACATCTCTGATCTAAAAATAGGAGGAAATCTGACAGTAAGAATAATAACTTTTTGAAACTATTTGAAAATAAAATACTCACACAGAGTTGAAGAGGTAGGCTCGGCCCTGGCTGCCTTGGAAAGACTATGAGACACAGAAGAAAATCTAATCAGAGAAAGTAATGCTCACTTGAAACTTATAATCACTCACAATCACAATATGATACTAATTGAAATGTCTCAAGCTTTATGTGCAACATTCTCAAATTTAAGTTTGAAATATGTTAAGTTTTATTTTAGTCTTTCTACCATTTAAACTGGCACTCAGTAGAGTGCATACCTCCGCCAAGGCCCAACAGTCCCCTTAAGGAGTTATGCTGGTAGGCCTGGGTTTTTTCCATCAAGATCTCAAAAAACAAACAAACAACAATATTTTTAAAAAGGGGGAGGTTTCTTCCTTGGCACATACCAAACCCTTACACCATGCTTAGGATAAATTTAGTTCAGAGGTTTTTGTGTAATCCTACAAACAGACAGACACCCAGGAATGAAAACATGACCTCCTTGGTGGAGGTAACTACGTGAGAACCCTGGAGGGGTTCTATGAGCCAACTAAAATGATGACGAACAACAAAGGGTGGCAGCATACTGACCTTAGAGATAAGATCGTCATGGTTGGCCAGATGGGCGCGGCAGTGTACACAACTGTAACGCCGGTGGCAGGAGTCCAGGTAAGCCTGGAACGTCTTGGCCTTCGTCAGCTTCACCATATCTGAGTATGACGACAGGAGAAATCAGGATGATGGTTTGTTGTCACACATGGATCAGTCATGCTGTCTCATACATTTAGATCAATCAGGTGCCGGGCAGGTTGATTTCCTTTTTTATTTATAGCATTTTTCAACTGCGGATGAGGAATTCCAGGTCATCAGACAGACAAGACAGGTTTTCTACAACTGTAAACACATTTGATAATAGCAACATGACACTCGATGGCTTTATCCCAAAATAACCTAACCTCACAACAGTAATGCTGGAACAACCCGAGGATTAACTGGCCAGACAATGCCCAGTAAAAAACTCAGTCAATTTAGTGTTTAAACTAGGAATGCACTTCATAAACCGTTCACTGGCTTCAGTGTTATATAAAGAATGAATAACAAGAAAAAAGAACAAATCATAAGACAAACCATTGGACTGAGATCATTTCTGCATCATGCATCTTTGTTACGGTCATTGTGTGTGCAGACACTCTAGCAGATGGGTTCGGGACAGGCACCGTTTATCAGGCAGCTTGTTTCCTGGTTTATAACAATCTGCACAAACAACCCTCGCTTCGTTAGATGCACTCAGTTAACCCAAATTCAAGCCCTGTCAAACGTGTGCTGCCACATTTCTGCTCTGTAACAACACTGGAGAGCGTCTGTGGTCCTGCTGCATGTGTTAGCTGCAGGAGACATTAGCTCTACCCCAGAGTGCATGTGTGTGTGCTTGTTTTTGTAATCTTTTTAGGACAGATTCCAGCATCAACACAGAACTTGTCAGGACCAGTGGAACAAATGGTGACCAGAGCTCAGTCGTAAAGAGGCAAACAATTATTTCTTAGGTGCTGGCTAAAGGTTCAGTGGGAAAGATTTAGGTGAAACTGGCAAAAATTGTATAAAAAAAATCCTTGTGACATTTTCCCTAGTTGTTTCATCTAAATTGCACGAATGCTTTTTTAACCCTAGAATGGGCCCTTTATATTTAAATACTTTATATGTACATGCTCTCTACGGAGCCTTTTTTTTTTACAGACATTAAAACTAGACAAACAAAACACTTTTTGAGTTTTTAAGACATCTGAAGCTACCGCAGGTTATCGCTCATGTTTTGATGGGGGAGGGGGGGTGAAGGTATTCAACTGCAACATGCAAAGTCACCACTAGATGTCACTAAATTCTACACACTGAACCTTTAAGATTAATGTTAAGGTGTGAACAGTGGTTAGGTTAGGACTGGGGATCTGCGTGAATTGGCAGGGATAAGGCTATAATGTGTGTGTGTGTGTGTGTGTGTTGGCTAGCATGCTAGCTCCACAGAGCCACAACAGCAGCTTGTCAGGACGAGCAAAACATAATTTCGAAAGTCCTGGTTAAGATAAGGTGAAGGAGGTGAATTGTGGTTAGGGTTAGCCATGGGTTGGTGGTGGTTAAAGTTAGGTAGGAGGTTTTGGTGAGACTGTCCACAGTGAATGCAAGTCAATGCAATGTCCTAACAAAGAGAGCTGCGCAAATATTAGTGTGTGTGTGTGTGTGTTAGCTAGCATGCTAGCTCGGAACAGTCACAACAGAGCAGCTCTGCGGGGTTTCCCTCGGTGTCTGTCCGCTCACCTGAAACAACCGAAGCTCCTCGCGGTCTCAGCAGCGGGTTAAAATCACTGACAGCCGAAAACCATGCGGTTCCTGCGGGTTATGTGGTCGGCAGGAGGTGGTGGTGGTGGGGGGGGGGTTCTCAGTCCGACAGTCGACCACGCGTTGTCCGCTCAGACAATGAAGACAACACCGACGAGACTCCGGGTGTCGCAGCGTTTATCCCGCGGCTCTCTCTCCTTTCTTTGACCCGGCTCTCACGGCTCCTCCACGGCCTCTTCGTGGACACGGTGGCGGGAGTGTGGCGCTGCTGGCAGGCTGACAGAGAGACGCGGCCCCGGCGGGAGGGAAAGTGTGGTTTGTTTATGAAAACAGCCAGAGGAGGAAGTCCGTAGACTGCAAAACAAACCCCTCGTCGACCAATCACAGCCCCGGACTGACTCTTAGGATGTGTGTCAGCCAATCAGAGGGGACCTTACATGACCACTGTGTGCCCATTGGCTGTTGGTGCTTAATCTTTTCCTGCTGCTGGGTCTGTGGAGTTTTCTAAATATACTCAGGTACTGAACTCAAATACACAGTCGAGGTACTTGTACTCGACCTGAGCGTGGACAGTTGATTGAAAACATTTGAACAGATCATTTGGTTGGTGACACTTTTTTCTTGCATTTTCAAATCAAAATAATGAATAAAAACAAACTGATTGACAATGAAAGTAAAAGTTGTTCCTTAAATATTTGCTGTTTTTACTTTTACTATTTATGTGACAGCTATAGTTAGTTGGTTTTTGCACACAAAGAGCTTAAAATTAAGTTAGTGATTGATCAATAAGAAAGGAGGGAAGGAAGGAAGAAAGATTTTTTAAGAAATTTAGCAATCACAACAAATTCTACCAACTCACTCTCTATATATCACTAAAACAACAAGTACATAAGCATGTTAGTAAGTGAGTACACTGCTGAGTGCACTTTTACCCACACTGTCACGTGTGACATTTAAATTTAAAGTGTTTAAGAGATTCAGGAGATGTTTAATTTTCTTAAGCAGAAACGATTGGTACAGAGATTGGTTGCTGTGGTTTCTTGATTTATTTGCATGCGTGACTTGAGGCCGTGTGTTTGCTCCTCTCTCTGGTGTGTGTGTGTGTGTGTTTTCATAAATGCCAAGGTCCGAATTCCTCCCCTGCACCACTTTATCCACCTGAGGCATTTTTACTAACCTCAAAACAAACTCTGTAGACAAAATCTTTTAGGAAAGAAAATAAATCACATTTTATTGATTCATTTTATAATCCGATTAAATGCTGTGTACATTGTATCTCTGTTTGTACATTGTTTGACAAGTTGGGCTGCAAGTTATTTTCATTACCTCATTATTATCAGTCTATTCAGTCAGTTAATCAATTATTTAATTTAAAGTATTTTAAAGTAACTGGTGAAACATTGATAAACCCCCTCCATAAATATTGCTGCTGATGTGTCCCCTGTGTCCTCAGTGGTCTCTGTGTTATGTTATATCCCCGACTGTATGATCACAAATGTCTAATTTGCTCTGCTGGGTCACTTATTCAAACCTTTGCTCTTTGGATCAAAGGCCTTAGTCTGCACTGATCCACTAACAATATATTCCATTAACTCACTCGTCACACTGCAAGGCACGGCCAAATAGGTCAGAAAAATACAGCCTTTGTTTCACTAACAGCTTGGTTGGACTTTGACCGTGGCCTGGGAAAACAAGGACACAGGTGTGGTTTACTGAGCATGTAAACCCTCATCTTATATGTGCATATATATATATACATGTATATATATATATATAAATACATATGTGTGATCTTCAAATTGCTTTTAAATAGTTTCTTATTCTTTGCTATATAAATAAAGTTTATCATTATTATTGCATGGATTTATCTGTAGTATTGGTAATTGTATTCTTTCTTTACTTATGTGTTTATAACAGCTTAACTCCAGGTGAATTGTCCCACATACTTTATTTCTGAAAATCAGCTCTTACTCAAATCAATCAAATATAATGTCAGAAAACAACATAAGACACAGTCACAACAAAGTCACGTTTGCTCTCGTATCATGAGAAACGGGATGTCGGATGACATGGTCCAGCTGGTTAAACATTCACTCCAGCGCTGGAAGATATGCTGCAGATAAAATCAGTGGCTGTGTGTTTGAACACTGGGCTCTGTCTGAAAGACATGTGGGTGGAGGACATAAAAATGAACTGATAGCAGATCGCACCACAAGCACGTAATTCTATCACCAGTGATTAAGGATCGAGAGTTGAATGATAGTTTTGTTCACACAACTCTTTGACTAATCTCTTCATGGGTGAGGAAATCAGTCTCACACTTGTATTCACTTCTCTTCTTCTTTCCCTTCTCATTCATCAGAAAAGTTGCAAAGTGACTGGATGGGTTTCCAGGTCAATCCTGACTCCTGTGTCTGCAGAGGTATCTTGACAGAACGGCGGGATAGTCGCTCATCACCCCTGTGGCTCCTACGTCAAATGCAGCCTTTATGTCCTCATCTTCATTGCACACAAACAAATGCACCTGCAATAACAGATGTATCAGTCAACCCGAGAGACACAAGACATAAGACTCAAAGACTTTAAGTTGGTACCTCTTGAATGGAAAGCTGGAAAGAAGCAGTAGATTGTAAACAAGTATTTATATAACACGATGTCATGACATTGATATGCTATATTAGAGAACGTTATCAATGCCATGGCAGCAACAATAGCATATACATAGATACTCTTCTTATATATAATTTGTAGTGGATCAACTGGTTAATGATGGATTCCTCCCCACTGAAGAAAAAGCACTAATGCTTCCTTCTGCAATTACACAGAAGTCATGATGTATCATAGATGACTTTATTTTACAGCAGTAGCCTCTTGTTTTCGAGTTAGACCGTCTTTCCCACTGCTACACGACACTTCACTACCTTCTCCTGCAGTGTGCAGCTCGTCCCTCGGTTTTTATGAGCATGTGGGTTTTTGGTCACCACTAATTCAAATGTGACGAGGCCCTGAGCGGCTGACAAAGCTTCCACATGTGACTTCAATTGTTTTCATGCTCAACTGTTAAGTGAACACTCATAGGCCTGATGATGATGATGATGTCATGGTCTAATGATGGGGGTGATGTCATCCCAGCAGAGACCAGAGTGATGCATCTCGCAGTGGGTGTATGAGCTTCTCTGTTTATCTACACAAGCCCTGATAGATGGATAGATAGAAAGATAGCTTGATGTTTTTAGATTTCTTATGTTTGCACTTCATACCTGAATTCCACGGGCTGCCAGGTGTTTAAATAGACTCTTCCTCATAGTTATTCTGAAATGAAAGCACATAGAAATCTATGAATGATTAAGTCTATATACCAACTTCAGTAACAAAAAAAATTTGAGAGTTTAAAGTTGCTGTTTTATAAACCCCCCACCCCCCCCACCCCAGTGTGACATTCATTTCTTTATTTTTTCCTAGAAATGTCCTTCTCATTACCAAGTCACAATTCCATCTCCACGTCAGCTGTAAGAAAGGCTGCAGTGGTTCTTTAAAGAATGTCACTCACTTCTCTATCAAAGAGACGACCAGCCTGTTCCTCAGGATGCGTTTCTCAGGAATGAACGTCCTTCAGCGGCACACACACACACACACACACGCACACACACACACACATACACACACACACATACACACACACACATACACACACACACACACACAGAGAGAGAGAGAGAAAGAAGAGACACATCTGTACTGTAACACATTTATCTTACACCAAATAATCACAATGTTATATGTTAAAACTCAGATTGAGACATGAGGTGCTGCCATAAAACAGAGGAAAACAAAAGTTAAAGCATGAGGGTCAATGATCTGCTTCTTCTTTATGAGCTAGTTTGTTAATTTCAACAATATGACCTCATTACCGAATGACACACATGACCTCACACTTGGATTCAACGTGCACCTACACAGGCCACACCTGTTGAAGATGCGTGGCAAGTAGAACTGCAGCAGACTCTCGCCCAGCGGCACAAAGGGCAGCAGGCCGCTGTAGAAGAGAAGCAGCAGCTGCAAGCCTCGGTTCAAAGAGAAACTGTACGGCATGGAGCTGTTCTACGAGGGAGCAGAGACACAGAGAGGCTGAGACTGTTTCTTTATAAATGCTGAAACTGTAAAGACAACTAACACAACTGGTGGAGCTTATAGAGATCTTTACATAACTCTAAAATGACATGTTCTCTGTGAAGTAGTGAAATAATAATGTATGAGTAACTTTGTCTCCACCAAGTGGTTGATATACCATTCTTTGGCATTCCTTCATGATCCTGGAGTTCACGGAGGCCCAGACCGTGATTTCCTCCCTTTTGTAGTGTCTCACCAGGTCGGACACCTACAGACGGACGAGAGGAGCTCACAGATTAAACATGAACCACGAGATACTAGGTTCAAATCTAGTGCAGTAAATGTGAGACAAGACATGTAAGCATATAAAATAATACTAGAGTTGCAAATACTTATGTGATAGGCATGACCAGAAAGAATATAAAGCATTAAAAACCTTTTACGATGATATTAGATATTTTCGTTACCTCTTGAATCTTGAATAAGAATCTGGCCTGGTTTACCTGTTTTGTCTGTGAATCTGTTTGTATCTTGACATTTTTAATATGAAGCTTCTATCACAAAAACATGAAAGGTGGCTTTCTTCTTGAACATGAGACAATGGGAACGTAAGGAGGATAAAATATTGACAAAAAGACACAAAACTCACAACCGCAGCGTTTACTTAACACCTCTGTGCCACACCTACATTTAACACTACACATGTTCAGACTCACAAAGCTGGTGTTTTCCTCACTGACCTTTACAGGCAGCTCATATCTTGCATGATACCTGAGGCCCTGAAAACTAAAACTAATATGATCTGATTTCCTGATGTGCACTGCAGAGTGAAAATCTCACCCTAACTTACTCAGTTTATTGGATAATTATGAGTAAATTAGTTTTATTGCTAACCAAAGTTTTTATCTATTTACTTCCAAAGATACTAAAATTAGAAGTGAGATTGGACAGATTTGGGAGTTTCTTTAAAATTATTGCAATGCCTCTACGTTTTTTTTATGTTAGGTGTTCTGTACCTTTTCTATCAGCTGCTTGTTGTTCTCCTTGATCTCGATGCTGACAGGCGTCTCAGGAAACTTCTTAAACACGTCCTCGAGCAGAGAAAACTTCCTGTCTGCACCGCTGCTGTAGTGACCTGGAGGAATTATGGGGGGTGAGACACACCCACCTCCTGGCCTGAGCTGTTATGTTAATGATTGAGAATTTAGAGAATGAGAAAAGTAAACTCACCTGTATAAAATGTCACCTCCAGTCTTTCCTTATACAAAGGCAAATCCTGAAAGAATTGGCAAAACAGGTATATATATATATATATATATATATATATATATATATATATATATATATATATATATATATATATATAAAAGATATATATATAAAAGATATAGTTAATAAGAGAAGTCTGTATCTAAGGTTATAGCATAATAAACTTATCAAAAATGTATTTTGTTCATTTTCAGTCATTTATTTTCAGGTGATACAATTCTGCAGAAACCAACTATGTTTACTGTGACTAGATATGACTAGATTTCTGTGAATACTTAACACGAACCTGCTGCAAGTTGCACAAGGCTTTAAGGCCTCTCAGGTGAGTTAAAGTAAATGTTTGTGAAGTCAAGCAGCTTTGCAATCAAACTGAAGCATATGCACGAGCTGAAGTCTTAATCTTAAATACCAGAGAAGTCGAGAACTGTATCCTGTTATTGTTCAAACTGGACTTCATTGGAAAGATGGTTTAGCTCAAGGCGACCTTCGACCTAACTGACACTCCTGTGTCCTCTCACCTGCAGATCGAGGGAGGAGATGGTGACATCGTGTCCCGTCTGCCTCAACAGATTCTCATCATGTGACACCACCACATGTCCATCACGTGTCAAGTGACAGTCCAGCTCCAGCATCTGTGTGCCCTGCTCCACCGCACTGGAGACAGATGTGAAGATGGAGAAAAGATTTCTTTAATGATAGGATATACATTTTAGCAGTTCTGTTAACAACAATATCTCAGTTAATCAGACAGCACCCAAGGGCCGTACAGTGGGTGAGATGCTGAGTGTATAAAGACAGGAAATCCCTTATTGAATCATTCTTTTATCAGATACAAGATGAATTACTGGGCGGGATAATCACTTAATGTCCAGGAATAAAATATACAATCTGGGGGAATCAATCCTCATTTGTCAACAGACTTTCTAAAAAGATGTTTTCCTGCTGACAGCTGAGCACAATCTTCTTTCACTGAGTGTGTTACTCACTGTGTGAACGCCTCCATGGTGCTTTCTATCTTCTCCCCACATCCTGGAAACAAACAGAGGAGTCAGCGTTGATGGTGGTGGTAGAGGGGCCCGGCTGATTCAGCCAGGGGCCCCAGAAATACAGAGAACATGCAAACACGCTACATCTGGTCAGTCAAGAAGAAAATAGTATTACTTCATTTTTACTCAATTGTATTTTTTTTAATTACTTCCACAAAGAATGCATTTGTTTGTTTATAATTTAGCAAGACGATGTAAAACTACTTCATGAAGGGGTGAGGTATGAACCCAAGGAAGAACCCATTAAATGTTGGTGTGAATTCGGATAAAAGGGCCGATCCAGGAATTTTCTTTTTTACTTTCTTTAATATTGTGAAAACAATTTCATAGATTTCGAAGAAAGTAATGATGAATTGATTATACATTGTGTTTAAAGTCAGTTAAGAGCTATTTTTCACTTTCATTTCCAAATCACTAATTTGTGCAACTAACAGAAACCAGATTTTAGCTAAAGCATATAAATATTAAACATTCTCACGTCTATCTCTTTTTGGTTATTTCTCCCAGGACATCTTGAATATTCAATGACATCCACCTGTTTGCACAAATCCCAATCAGGTTTTGAATCACGCAGCTTTATTATGGATCCCTGGGCCTGTCAAACTGTCAGCCCCCCCCCCTCTCTTACCTCCTCGGTGTGAGATGTGTGTGCAGTAAAAGGCTGTGCGTTTCTTCCTGTGGAGAAGGTGTGGGTTCTTCAGTAGGTACAACGAGGTGAGTGTGTATCCTCCCAACACCGGGAGGGCGAAATACAAAAAGCTGCTCATTCTTCCATAAAAACTCGTAACAGGGGAGCTGGTAAAAGTCTGCAAGATCCCTCCCGAGGGTGTTGGACGTGCACTATGACTTGCAAAAACTGTCAAGTGTGTCCAAGGCCTTGAGGCTGCTCTCCAACAAACCGAGACAGTGAACAGATGCAGAAGCTTGACCGAGGACAACCTGCTCTCTTCTTCAGGAGATAAGAAAAAACTGGACGGACAGGTAAGACCGAAGATATGCTTCCCACGAATGTTGCCTCATGTAGCCAGAGACAGAGTTTGCTCCTGGAGAGAGAGAGGAGGCACCTGAAAATTGCGGAGCCGTAAAAATCAGTTAATGAAGCACCAGCTCAGAAAAACCGTGCTCGCCTCACTGCTCTCCCTCCTTCTCACTGGCCTCTCCCCTGCCTGTGGCAATACTATATCATTCTCTTTAAACTGTTTTGTTTGTCAGGTGGCTTTGTGTGTGTGTGTGTGTGTGTGTGTGTGTGTCGTAACCTGGACACTGCACCTCTGCCAACACTTTGAGGATTTCTTTTATTCCGTCTCACTGGTCGCAGTATTGTCTTTATGATGCAGAATACAGTGCATCTAATTAGTCTCATGATAATCCTGCAGGTGGTGCAAACAGGGGAAGAAGGGCAGTTGTGTGCATCTAATGTTCTCTGCAGATTTGAGCATATACAGCTTTAGAAATGTCATCAGTCAATGCAGCAGGTTTCTGAGCCTGCCTATGTTTGACAAAGGGGATGTGGTAGCATGTGGAGATATGTAAACTCAACCCGGACCCATGAGGCCAGAAATATGACAACAACATACAGTATGTACACATGCTTTCTATACATTCAGTTCAATGTCAGCACAGCACTGTATTGTTCAGCTTCAACAACAAAGCTGTGTCAAAGGTGCAAAAGGTCGAACTCGCTCTCTAACGTTGCAACGAGCCTGGTTTCTACCAGAACAGAGAAATCTATTCACTGTGCTACAAAGTGACTTTCTACCATTTTCTCACATTTGCAGGTAACAGATGTGCATGTCCTGGTCATTTTTATAAAAAGTTCTTTAGGTTTAGTGTTTTCCTTTCCTGTCTAAGTGCCGTCATTCCATTCATTCATCAGAGTCTGTGGGAATGTCAGCGATGGAGGGAGAAGCCATGCTCAGACATGTTGCCAGAAGGGAAAGTCGTACAGGAGGAAGAGCAAGTTGACATTTGTCGCAGTTACAGATCCATTCCCACCACTAATGTTAAACCTGGTTTATTTCCTGACATTACGCAAATGCAGATTAATATTTTCACAACTTCAAATTAAGTTTTGTTTCCTTGGTGATCATCGGTGACACAGGTGACCAGTGGCCCAGAAACAGAGGAAAACATGGCTTAGAATTAGTAGTTAATTTTAACACTGTACTGAAATAAGTCATGAAAGGGAAAAGAGCTTTTTGGGAACATGGTGACCTGTTGGAAAAATCAAGCCACCAGGACGTCATCAGTGGTTTTAGTTTGTCCAAGTAAACGTCCTGCCATAATAATAACCCACAGCAGCTCCACACAGCAGCTCCACACAGCAGCTCCACACAGCACCGAGACGTCTCTCTATTTTACATTACTTTTTTCAACTACATCGTCCTGAAGTATTTTTGTCCTGGTCATTCAGCATCATTCTTTATAGATTTTTTTTGTATGAATTTTTTCAATTTTTTTGGTCACTTCGTGGTTTTCCCTGTCGATGTTTTGTCTCGATGTGATTGTGTTGTGTCCCACTTTCAAATGAGAAACTTTAACAGTCATATGTCAGAATTTCAGACATTAACTCCGGACAGGTGGTTTTGGGACATCAGACTTTCACATGAACAAGCAGGAGATTGTCCGGGTCAGACGCATTCACAACAACAGGAAGATGACCGGAGCACTCGAGCGGGGGGGTGGGGTCTGGGTAGACCATGCAGGAGGCAGGACATGATGTTTAAATTTGGCAGTGGAGCTCAGGTGGTCTTTGACACTGGCAGCGGTTCTTATCACTTGTTTATCCAAGTTGACATCTTCGTCTGTGTCTCCTTTGTGAGTGGTACCTCTTTTTCATCCTGAGATATTCAGCTCCGTTTTCAGTGTCGGTTCCGTTGTGTATGAGACCACTGTTAACTATTATGACGATAGTGGAGAATTTGGTCCATGCTGGGTTTGAATATAAAAGATTGTGATTCATCGCATGACAAATCCCCAGAAAAAAAACACTATAGATCACAAGAGGCCACAAAAAGCATCCACAAGGAGTTGTAACAGTATCAGGAAATTTTATTTAATTATATGTATATAATTCTGTTTCTTTGTTAATCGTTTAATTCATAATACCCATAGAATATACAGACTATAACCCTCAATAACTCATATCTCTTTGACAATCTACTTATATCTTCTTTTAAAATAATTTCTTGTAAGATCTTGGAGGGGAAATTGAAAAAAAAAAAAAAAAAAACAGCCTAGGTTTCAGAAAGATTGAAAACACTGCCAATAGTCACGCCCATTAGAGAAATAAGGAAGAAATAAAAATCAAAACATCCTAAATATAAAAAAAAAAGATACAACTTTAACTCCCTTTTCTGTAAAAAAAAAAAAAAAAAGAAAGAAAGAAAGAAAAATACAACAACCCACCAATATAACAACAATAGCAATAATAACAACAGCCATTTAAAAACAACAATATCTGGAAACAGGCCTCATGACAGACGGGCCTTTAGACTTGTTGATACCGTGTGAATGTATGGGGTGTGTTTAAGTGCAACTTTTCACAAGGATACACTCCTCAGGCGAAGAGAGGAAGTGAGTGTGTGAGAGTGTATGTAATTGCAAAACGTGGTCCTCTTGGTTCATTCCTTCAGTTACCCAGTCAGATGTTTGGTCTTGTGTCAGGTCAGAGGGAAAAAAATAAAAAGCAAGTAGGGCCTGTTTGACTGGTGAACGACTTTACACAAGAAATGCACAGAAAATATCTGTGCGACTGTTCTTTGTGGGGAAAAAAAAAAGAAGAAAAACAGTCGCACAGATGTAAAAGCAAAGAACTGCAGGGTGAGGGCCCAAGCTGTGAGGAGAAAATACACACTACCAACACACACTAGACAAAAAGAGCCTTGGCTTTATGTTACTGATAAGCAAAAATACAAACACTTTTACACTGATATAAATTACAGCAGACAGTCCATGCGTCTTAACACACACACAGCAGGTGAAACTTAAAGCTGGATGAGCAGGATACAAGACAGAAAGGGAGGGAGAGGACCATCCAAAACAACCTTGAAGGAGTCAGAGCGTGGCTGCAAAGACAAAGTGCTGGCGTGCTGATTGAGTCATGTGATCGGAGCGAGTTTTCCTGCTCGTATGACCATGTCCATGGTCAGAGACGAGAGGTGACGGAGGAAAGCGACAGCAAAGTCAGTGATATAGTCAGAGGGTCTTCCCCAATCCCACAGGAGATACGCAGATATGGGCGAGTACGTAAACACAGACAGGGGAGGAGGAAGAGGGGGCAGCCCTTTTTTTCCCCTAATAGTAAAGCATGGTGGGATTTGGGAGGGTTGAACTACAAAAACGTGCGTCGCCACATGCACCATAAAGCCTCACAACGATCCCAGAGTGGTGGCTATGGCTTCTGAAATAACAGCCCTGGGAGAGGGCGAGGCCAGTGAGCGCTCCAGATCTGGGTCTATACACTGGTCCCAGTGCAACGGGCATAAGATTAGTGCAGACGGAGCTGGTGGACCCGTGGGTGGTGGTCCACCAAGCAGCGAGTAGTATGGTCACAGAGAGCAGACACTGAAAACGGACAGAAACAATGAACACAGAGAGAGAACAATGTTTGCACACACTCAATGATACGTCAGACACTATATCACCCACATTATAGAACACACATCCTGTATGTTAACAGGTGGCCAGGAGAAAACACACACGCGCACACACACACAGGCAAAGGGAGGCGGGAAGAGGAGCGCAGAAAATAAAAACACTCAGAGAGGGGCAAACTGGGATATATACGGTACAACCAGGAAGTGATGATGGTTGCTTGGCTGTGAGCAGGAGTAACTGTACAGCTCTCTTCTGTCTTGATGAATCAGTAACGTGCACAGTTTTCTCAGTAGTGGTGTAGTTTTTCTGTCAATGGACACAACTAAGGAGAGTCCACAAAGCAAAGGCCAGTTACATTCAACACTAGCATCAACAGTCCTTTTACCGCAGCAGACATTCTGGCGCGTTATAGCCGTAAACATTAATAATGAGGGCATTCCATTCAGATGAGCAACTACTAGTGACTTGTTACTGTGTGTGCTCAAGCGTCCTGGCATGATTGATTTACTGGAACGTTTGATGTCCCACTGAATCACCGTTAACAAAAATGTATTTCCATGTGTGCTTTTCCTTCTATGACAAGTCAAAACGTCTGCCGTGACAAAATTGTTCAGATTAGGGCTTTTCGCTGTCAATGAGGTCCCAGCCTGCTCAAACCACTCCACTCCACGAGACTTAAACAGGAGCGCAGACCAAAAACAGCAATGCACAATGGAAAGGCTCAAGTCAACCAGACCCCCATTTCCCCAGACAGGCTGTTTGTTTGGGACGCAGAGGACTGAGTGAGTCAGAGGGGCTGAGGAATGACAGAGGGCTCCAGTGGTGTAATGACACAAGCTGAAGTTCCCCAGTCAGTCGCTGTGTGTGTGTGTGTGTGAGTGTGTTACAGGAATGTAATTTAATATAGGAATCTAATACTGACACTGGATCAGCTGTGATGTTGGCTGTATTTATGGGACAAGTGATGTTACACGGCTGAATGTGGAGAATACAGTAATGTTATACCGGTGTGTTAGATCAGTGTTTCTGTGGTATATCGGCATTAGGCATCACAGTTGTAATATCTGAAAGAACACTTGATCGTAGAAACTATTTTATGCTCTTTACTTCGGCTTTGTTCCAAAAAACCCTAGAACCTCCTGAAAATAGCTGTTCACATCTGTTTCTCTGCCCTTGATTCGAGTTTGTAGGTCAAGAAATGTGGTTAAGGTAAAAACTGATATTTTTTAACTGCTCCCCAGCCAAGTTCCTCACGTCTCTCTGCCACTTTGGTAAATTCAGGAATGCATGCATTCATATCAACATCATACAGTTTTTTTTTTTCCTTTAAAAAAAAGAAAATTCAAAAAGAGCGACAACAAAGAAATCTATAAACCTGCCAACATGCCAATAAAGACACTGAATGTTTGTCTCAAAATCAAGTGTTCAAAAATGACTTGCAAATATAAACCCCAACACATACATTACGACTCTGAACGGTGTACAAACGAAAACTGCGACAAGCACACTTAAAAAAACGACAAAAAAAAAAGGTTTTATATTTTTGTATATACATACTCACACCCGATTAGCGTCCCCGTTCTTTTAGCCCTCGACTTATCAGGGTTGCAATTTACATGGAGCCGAGACGAGAGTTATGGTGCTGGTTAATAATAATACAGTAGTATGAGTTTATATGAGAGGGAGCGACAGAGAGGAAAGACAGATCAGCGATAGGTGAAGGAGAGATGGTACAGAAGAAGAGAGGAGAGGAGCAGTGAGTAACTGCAGATGGGACGAGGTGAGGTGGGACTGGAAAACAAACATGGAGGTGAAAGGAGGGAGAGTCCAACATAGAAAAAGAGCTAAACCAATACGAGTACGACAGAACCCAACCACCCCACCCAACCACAGAAATCAAAGTTGAACTTAGCTCTCTCTTGCAGTAGAAATGGAAAGATAAGCAGTTAAATGTTCGTATTTTCTCATTTTTGTTGGTTTCTTGAAGATTTGTTTTTTTTTCTTTGTTTTAGCATGTCGTTTGAAATCTTCTTGTTCCGAGCCTCTGCGTGGCGTCGTCACTCTTTGGGGCTACGAGAAAGAGAAGAAAAAGAAATGAGGCTCTTTGACCAAAAAATCTAGGCTTTGAATTAACAAACATTAAGTCACAATTGGACTTCTTTTAGATTTGACCCTCATTCCTATCATTCGTGATGACTTTTGTAAACTTCAATTTAAAAAAATGGACAAAACCAAGTTGAGCCAAAATATCAATTACAGTTATAGCATACATTCAACTTCGAGGCGTTGGCGTATAAAGATCCCTGAACATTTGTGAACTGTTCATTTCTTTCATCTTGGGAACAATGTGCAACAGTGACTTTGTATTGTGCAAGACAGCGAGGTGAGGGAGCGTCTCAGTTTCTGTTCCGATCATGTGTGAAGATAAAGATCAGTCTATTCAATTACATGGGAATACGTTTATGTGCCTTTGACATTGTGTTTACTGACCAGAATGAAATACAGCAATAAGTTAATGATCCTGTGAAGCTGGACAATGTTTTATATTTACATGATACTGTCCTCTTGGACCTGTGAGACAGCAAACAGGTTCAGTGGCTATTAAAGGAGTTATGAATGGCAGGTGTTCCACTGACATCTAGTGGTCTTGACTCAACCAATCACATTCAGTTTAAAGAAAACAAATCAGACACATCTTCTCTTTAAGAAGAGAGCAGATCCTGAACTTTGGTTCTCTTAGTGTGCGGCAAGGGTGTGTGTTTTTGTGTTTCAGTTTTATGTACCTGTGTGTCTCAAGAGCCCTGGTAGGTTTCCTGGAAACGAGCCGTTTCCTCAAAGATCAGTTCCTTCAGCTTCTCCTTGGGTAGGTCATCCAGCTCCATGGTGAAAGTGAAGGGCTCCTCCGCTACTGGCTGCAAAGACATAACAAAACAGCAGCAGCGATGACCAAGAGGTGACTGCTGGTCAGAAAGAGCAGCCTGAATGCTGCAGTACAAGTTCCAAAATGTGCAGAGAATGAACAAAAAAACAACAACCGTAAAACACAATGCACAAATGTAGGTATTATTCAAATCAAGCAGTAAAGAAAAACTTCTGGGCAGATAAGATATGCTTGAAACAAAAGAAGAATTGTGTCAACACTTATATAAACCTTTATGAGACGAGAGATTACGTACTTTAACCTGGAGCAAACTTAATACTAACTGAATTCCAAACACAGCTAAGAGGCTTTCCAGCGCAAAGCAGTAAGGCTCACAATTAAAGCTTGGCTCATGGTTGGAAAAAAAAAACAAAACAAGAACAACATGAATCAATAAGCCCTTCTGCCGCAAAGACATTTGTGCAAATCTCAATACTTGGCTAAGCTGAGCTTGGCTTTTTTCCCTGTGTGTTGTTCAAGTTCCTCTTTAAGAGTACAGTTTTAATACTATGCATACCTCATCTGAGGGATCATAGTACTGCTCCAGGTAAGGATGACCCAGGGCCTCTTCAACGCTGATGCGCCTGATGGGATTAAAGGTCAACATGCGGCCCAGCAGGTCCAGAGCTGCGTTAAGATGCAATGAGAGCTTTAGTTAGTTTAATCACCAGGTTGTGCAGCCATATGACATTTTCCAATTATGATACCCATTTTATTTCACTGTCAAAATGTTTTTGGGACTCACACAAAAACAAAAACTTCACATTGTGTCCAAGTCTAAATATCAATATACTTTAAGGTGACTTTTAAATGCATTTTTTTAATCCCAGTGATCAAATCATAACAGCTACAAACTTTACAAGTCATTTTCAATAAAGAGCTCAGTCACACTTGACAAGCACCTTCAGTCTCCACCTGCTTCCTCAGATTAGTCTGCAGAGTTTGTTATTTCCAATAAATATGACGTATAATTTATCCTCCCACGTCCCAGTACCTTTCGAATCGGCCCTGTTGAAGATCTTTTCCCAGGGGATCTTGGGTTTTTCAGGCAGGGACTGCAGGTAGTTCCTCGCCTTCATGTTGATTATACAGTTCAGATCATCTTGAGATGGGGAGCCGAGGACGCCTGCACAGAGAGGAGGGTCATTGACGCCTTTCAATATGGCTGCTTATAAACAATGTCTTTCTATAGAAACCAATCTTGTTACGTGGCCAAGAACTGTGTCTCACCCAGTATGTGGTTGAGCTGGTCCAAGTAGTGTTTCCCAGGGAAGATCGGCTTGTTGGACAACATCTCAGCCAGGATGCAGCCCACTGACCAAATGTCGATGGACTTAGAGTAGCCCTGAGACAAACACACAAACGATCAACACACTGAGAAACACACTCACACGTCAATCAATCCACATCAGTCACACACACCCACCTTGGAGTTGAGCATGATTTCTGGAGCCCTGTACCAACGCGTGGCCACGTACTCAGTCAAGAAACCTGTGTGGTCGTGCTCAGGGTCGGCTATCCGTGCCAGGCCAAAGTCACAGATCTGAGGACACACAAAGGGCCAGAGATCAGAAACATCAGTCTGCCAACTGGCAAAAACTGAAAAAAAAAACCCACCAACAAACAAAGAGAAAACCAAGATCTCAGGATTAAAAAGAGGTGCAGTACATGTGGAAGACGCCAACGAAGATGTCAAATTGAAAAACTGAGATTTGTGCTCATTTTCCAGAGTTCATGTCTGAAAATGGCTTTTGTGTCGGATTCACAAGTTAAGCCCCAATCTCATAGAATTAGTTGCTAAGGAAAAATGGGGTGGTAAAAAAAAACTTTATTTCTCTTCCTTTAAAAAGCTTCTAAACTCTGTTTGTATTTGATCAAATCACCAAATTGCAGGAAGCCTGGAGCCAGGCAGTGATCAGCTGAGAGAGCGTGTACACAGTGCACACAGATGTGGAGAAATGAGGGCTTAAAGGGGGCTGCGTCGAATATGTGAAATCAATTTAAGGATTATACTACTCGACTCAATGGACACGCACATTAAGTAACAACAGTGGCACAAAGCCAGCGACGTAATGTGTGGCTGTTTCTAAATGGATCTATTTAGATCTTTTTCCTTTGTCCTGGAGTGGAATGTATCTGAAAGCTGCTTCAACATATGCTGCTTTTGTTTTTTACTCCACCCACATGATCAGCTAATCCAGGGATTGATGGTTGGCTGCTGAGAGTTCACAAGTGTTCTCTAAAGGCTGAACAACACGCCAAAGAGAACTCTGACTGTGATAGAGCAAACAGACCAGCACCAAACTCCCATGTTTTTTTTTTTTAAATTCTAAAATAGTCTCAGGTTTTACAACCTTTTGGGTAATTAATTGTACATCCTATATCTGGGACGCTTTAAACGCTCTCTCTTTAATTGTACGCTGAGTGCTTCAGTTTCAATTAGTGGTTTTCAACCTTCTCTAAAATGCAAGTGGAGAAAGAATTAAGATGCTAACGCTCGCTGTTGTTGCCAGTTGAGAAGAAGCCAGGGCCACGCCTCATTATGCACATTAAAAATCAACATTGAAACTAGTTTCTGGTTCAATGTTGTGACTGATTGGTGTATTGTGTTATAGAAATAAGTACCAAGACCTTGATTCATTTACATTGGTAAGATATTGTCATTAATAATCTCAATTGAAGACACTCAAGCAGTATTTCACTTTTAGCCACTTCGTGTTCAAACCGTCACATGTTGAAAAAAGAAAGAAACGTCTCAGAACAAAGTGGAATCAAGAAAGGAAAAATGTGGATTTCAAGTTTTAAATAAAACTAAACCTGGATGGAAAACATACTAAAACTAAACCCTTTCAGATTCCGAGCTTATGAGAGACAAAAGGACACCAGGAGGACACCAACACTCCTCTCTGTTGTCATGAATATGTCTATTACAAGTCTGAAAGTCTGCATCATCTAAATAACATCAACAACATGGGTTCCTTGGTTGGGTCATGACGAGCTAGTGAAGGCCCGGGTCAATCCATCACCCATATCCAACATTCCTGAGATACTTTCTTGCTGCTGGTACCAATGTTTAAAACAGCATATTGGCTGAGAAACATTACAGATCGCAGCTCACTAAATAGATGCATTTAACTTTAAAACAAAAAAATGTGTGTGTGTGTGTGTGTGTACAGACCTTGAGGTCGCAGGTGGTGTTGATGAGCAGGTTGGAGGGTTTGAGGTCACGGTGCAACACGTTGGCCGAGTGAATGTACTTGAGGCCTCGCAGGATCTGGTAGAGGAAGTAGCAGACGTGGTCGTTGCTCAGCCTCTGGCTCTTCAGCAGCTTGTACAGGTCCGTCTCCATCAGAGTCTGCACGATGTAGCTGGAGGGACGCTTGAGTCAAGGAGGACAACATTGTAGGGAAAAAGGAACGTTCCCAAATATCTCCTGCATTTTTCAGCAGTGGGAATTTATGTCTAGGCTCGGGCGAAGAGCTGCTGAATCATACTTCATATTATACTTTGTTTAAACGTGTTTAAACATGTTGTTTGGAGAATAAATGCAACATCCTCTAAGCCACACTTCCTATAGCTCCCTGATTGGACCAGTTTCAAGCTTCACAATGATCATTTGTCATGTTTTCTAGACTCATATCTTGTAGAGAAATCTGTGACTGTCAGACTTGCACTTGGTCAAACACTAGATGCAATGATTGTGTTGCAATCATTTTGTTATACTGGAAAAGTCCAGAAGAGTCTAAAACATATGTACTTATGTCCTTGGCAGAAGTGTAAAGACTGTACCTTTCAGCCATGTTGTTGGCATGGCTCTAGGGGGATAATATCAGGTCAGTCGGTCCAACACTTTGATTCCAGAAAGTACTAGATGTACTGCCACTAAATTTGGTATAAACATTCATATCCTCCTCAGGATGAACAGTAATAACTTTGGGGATTGCTTAACTTTTCAAGTTTTTCTAAAACTGTGTTACTATTGCTTCACAGATCTGTTAGAATGACTCTAGGCCATTGGTCAAGTTGCTATAAGATGCCCTGGAATGGGTGCTGCTGTCCCTGGATTTTGTATCATCAGTCCCAAATCAGGAGTCAGCAGCAACACAACAAAGTGGAGTGTCCAGGCAGATCAAACAAGAAAAACAAAAAAAAAGACATCACACATTTCCTTTGCCTTTCGCTGAGGACAAAGCAGCTTTTCACAAACTGCCACAGCAGCAGTCACAGCAATGCACTGACTGACCGGTCATGCCCCCAGTTCACTGCTAGCTGCTCTGCAAATGGTCGCTACTTTCCGTCTCAAAGGACCGGGCTGTAAAACAGCTGCATGACAACAGCCGTCATGTTAAATCAATAATATATCGATAATTTGACAGGGTAAACCTGGGATTAAATGTGGTTAAATTGAGGTGCGTAACTTTCAACATTTGTGCCTACACATCACAGGAAACCTACTGCATTGGGATTTTTATAATGTACCATGCTACTATGAACACCTTTTGCATCAACTTTGGCTCCAACAACTATTAGACCCTACCATTTATGGTTTAATTGCAGTTTAAAATAATTCAGTAAATCGCGCAGAGTCTATATATTTCATAATGTAGCCTAAATTCAGCCCAAACATGAATGCCTCCATCAAATACTCTTTCCTTTGAACTATAACCAATCTTGAAACTACTGGCAAAAGTATAGTGAGCGGGTGCTGGGTTAATAACCGTTTATTTGTTTGGTTGAAACCCACCAGACACAGCTTCAATCATTTTCAGGCAGGCAAAGTCACAGCTGAATTCTGAACATCACACACTCTAAATGAAAAATAATAAAGCTGTTGCAATAAAGTTTAAGCCTCTTCAAATGTTGCTGCACATCATTTTGTTACGGGTTGTTGAATCCAACATGAACAGATGTTTAAGAATGTGTGAGATAATTATTTCAAGCTGGTGACTTCCAAAAAGAAACTAAACTATTCCAGCTATTTTTTTTTAAATATAATTTTGGGGTATAGGTGACATTTGTATTACTGAAAGCAAACAAATGCAGTGAGCTCATCCTGCGGAGAATGAAAGGATACACATCCCTCATGTTGTCAATGTGCCTTGCCCTGAGAATGTCGTTGATGCCGATGATATTCTCATGGTGGAAACGCAGCAGGATCTTGATTTCCCTCAGTGTGCGTTGGCAATATGTCTGGTGCTCGAAGGGGCTGATTTTCTTGATGGCAACGCGCTGGGTTGTCACGTTGTCCATGGCAGAGCTGCACAGGGCAGAAAGCACAGAACAGGTTTCATATTACACACCGCGCAGTTAATACCCAATGACTGTATCAGAAACAGGGATGGTCCTGCAGACAGTCTCCACTGCCAAGATTCATATGTGACACACACGTCTATTGTGCTGTGATATGTTGTGAAGTTCTGTAGGTGTAGACCTGAGTGTAGGTGCTGGATCAGTGTGGTGTAGGTGTAGAGTACATGCAGTGCTGAGAGCAGCTGAGAGTGTGATGCGTTTCTGGGCCCATTGCATATACAGTTCACCCCCTTGTAAATTTTAAGGCAAAGATTCATTGTCAGACAAAATGTCAAATCTATGTTCTCACACAGGCCCTCGCCCTCAACAGGAACAATAGTTACATCACATCTGTTACTATTGGTACAAGCACTTTCTCTTATTGCACAACCCGCTGCATAAATCTGGCTGTGTGCCTCCTTGATTGACTGTGACATCAACAATCACAAACATCCCTGGGGCGTAAAGAGCACAGTTTTGAGGTTTGAGACCACTACTTTATTTTCTATGTAGTTTTCGTGTCATTGTACCAGCAGGAGGGAGTTGGCTCTGTTTACAAACACTGAATGCTGCAACAGTGGAATCACATGACCACGATGACACCAACACAAACAGCCCTGTGCTGTCACAGTGGGGATGACAGTGATCCACACGGCGTGTCCTGCTGGCATGGACGTGTGGGCCCGGCTCTCGTGTGCCATCCACGCACTGCTGTCACATCTGATTGCTGCTCACAGCTCGGCCGACTTGGCACTGATATTAAAGTGCAACAGGGCTGTTTAACACGTCCTCGCAAGGCTGCAGATCACACAGCGATAACACAAGGAGAGGCCTCGCTACAGCTGACAAATCCCACTTGCATCGGCTTTGCTGCAGGCTGAGTGTTTGTGAAGAGCTGAAGTACACATGAATGTGAGTGGGAGACAAACACCAGGCGGAAAAAAAAGGACTGCAGTGATAACCGACTTGAATTTGCGGTGAGACGCAGCCTGCAAAGTGCTTTGAGCTCAGGTTGCAAACTCCTTTTCTGCGCAATCACTCCCGATCTTGTTTCCTGTAAAGCTCATAGCCACGCCTGTAGCTAGCCTGCTAACCTGCTAACCACAAGAGCTGGTTCCACAATAAGTCCTAATGTCGGGCAGCCGTTTTAAAAACACAACCCTGGAGACCCCCCTCGTGTTTTCTGTACATTTTCTTGTTGAACACAGCGGCTACATCGAGCTGACGAGGTGTATTTACTAACAAACAGCGTAGCGTTAGCTAGCACGTCTCGACTCCACGGCAGGCACAACTCACCACACCATTCCGTACGCCCCCTCCCCGATGTAACACAGGTTCGTGTAGCGGGGGCCCACGTCAAATATCTGGCCCTTCACAGACTCGGACTCGATCTTGGGTACCGCGGCTACGGGTGCACCACCAACATCAAGCGCAACAGTGCCATCCGCCCCGTCGGCAGCGGCGCTGTCGGAGCCCGCGGCCCCGACCTCCGCTGCGGTGCAGCACAAATCCGCCATTCTTTTCCCCTCCGAAGTGCTCCTGCTCTGTCCGAGTGTGTCACCGAGGCACCGCCGCCGCTCCCCGCGCCGTGTATCGTCTCTCCGGGGCTGTGACCGAGCGGATGGCTGGACTGACGGAGCAGATAACCGACCGCGGGGCCCTCTCCACTGCCGGACTGTAAATGGATTTGGTGCGCGAGCGCGGATTTGGCCTCGACACCGAGCGTAAAATGCGCGTGCCAAACAACGGCGATACAGATGCGTTAGATATGCCTGTCGACGCTGACTTTGTTGGGCGGAGTCACGCCAGCTGGCTACAGAGCCGCACAGAGAGGCCCCGCCCACCCAGCTCCATTATCACAGGCTGCTAAACAAACACGCAGGGTGGGCGTGTCCATATATGTGGCACGTTGCCTGTTTTGCCAAGAACAAGAAAATTAGAGTTTATGATTTAATTGAATTTAATTTGATGATCTTGTCTCTATTGTTTTTGAATCACTGTAATACAGCCATGTTGTATTATTGTGGAGTATCGTGCGAATGGTAGGTCCCCAATGTTAGAATGTATTTGTCTGTACATCACTGTTAACATAATACAAATGATAATATAATGAATTAAATGCATGCATTGTGCAGCTTTACATTTTTCTCATGTTCATATTAGTCTAAGATCTGGTAATGAAGAAAAAATCCTGTTATTAAAACAAAATGATTTGGATTCGTCTAATTATTTTAAGTATGGTACATCACCATTTGTGAATAATGGAAATGTTGCTTGTGCACACACACACACACACACAAATAAAAACATAACAAAGTGATGCTTTAGTGATGCAGTATTTCGCAGTATTCAAAATGGAGATAATGGGTTTTCCTTATCAATACACTAAATTAATTAATAAAATAGTCCCCAAACCTGTATAAAATGCTTTTTTACTTTTACATTTACACTGTCACATAAAATACTGTCATTCAAAAAGGAAAATAATCACTCAAAAAAAAAAAATATATATACAAGACACTTGCATGATGTTAAGCAGACGGTATTCATGTAAAACTGACCAATGTGTTTTACATGAATTTATTTATTTTTTGAGAGAAACAGATTCACCAGTGAATACTTGAAGGGGGTCACCATGGAAACGAGTGCGACTGCTGGAACCGCACGCCTTCGGTGACGTCGTCACGCAGGGCGGTGCACTTCCTGGTTACGGTGCATTGCGTGTTGTGGTTGATCGATGTTCGAGTCCCTGTGAAGGAATGATTCATTTCCTTCAGCGGCGAAACTGGATGTGCCGGATCCGCTTAGCGCTCACTCTCCTCGGGCTCCCGTACACCGTGTGCTCCTCCGGACGTAGGTACGGACACGTTCACGTTAAACTTACAGGACTAGATTAGCTTGAAGCTAACGCTGCAGTCAAATTTAGAGACGAGTTATGGGGCTGTTAAGTTCAAAGTTCCCGACCACTGACACCCTTATCAGCAGAGCCAGGCCATGTGATTTAAAGTCAATATCACTATCATCAATATCACAGATGAGATAAGCCACAATGAGGTGGCCTACATACAAAAATAAATTGAAAAACATCTGTATTAAAAAGTCAAACAGAATTCAACAAATAATCGTCTGATGTTTGCTAAATCAATATTACTTATCATAGTGTATCATAGTTTAAAATGACTATTCCTGATGTCATCATGATGATTTCAATAGCCATGACAAACGATATGTGTGTTTGTGTGTGTGTGTGTGTGTGTGTTTGTGGGGGGGGGGTTTGTTCTGCTGCTTCAGGGAAGGCTGTGTGAGGCTCAACCCAATGTCTCTATTATTTCTTCCCCTGCAGGTCTGCCATCGCCTGCTCAGCCTCCCCTCCTTTCATCAGCAGCCACTCCCCCAGTCCAATCACTTCCAGTTGCTGTAACCTCTACATGACCAGCGTGCGGACAATGCCGACCTCAGCTGCTCCTCACGCACAATCCAGATGCCCTCAGTATCCAGGATCCAACATCAAGCGCTTCCCGGTGCCCGATAACCAGGTGGACTGGAGTCAGAACTGGCAACAGTATAATCCAGTCAGCTACACCGACCCTACAGTAGCAAAGAAGCCAGCATGGGCAGATCCTGATATCAGGTACATTGATTGCACTTTGATTAATTGAATTGCATGTCCTCCTTCTTCTCATGATCCAAAGACATGCAGATTTGGGTTGGGATTAATTTGAGACTCTAAATTGACTTAAGTTGCGAATGCAAATGGTTTAAATCTGTCTGTCTGCCCTGCCATACAGTTCCAATCTGTCCGGGGTGTGTGCTCTGCCTCATACCCATTGTCAGCCATTAGCAACCCTTAAGGATAAGTGGTATAGATAATAGATGAATGGATAGATAAATTGCATGTAGAATTAGTTATAGATTTTTCCTGGCTTTTACATGTATAGCTAGCTGTGTGAATCATCTGCACTGTATTTCAATCAGTTTTGATGGATCTTTTGTCTTGTTTTTGCAGCTCTTTCAGTCCAAAATTCAACACTGTGGATGGTTCTGTAGACAGGACAAGCTTTGAGGGCAGCTTCAAGGTTGAAAATGGAAAGCCACTGTAAGTTGTAGAGCAAGAGAAATTGTTTTACTTAAAAGAAAAAGAATATTAATTCTGGATTTTAGGATTTTCAAGCTTTGAGAGATACAAAGCAAACTCTAGAATAAAGTTTGATTGCTAATGTGCAAAACACTTTTCCTGATGGTGGCTTTAATCCAGCAGTGGTTGCAAAGAGCTGCTCTCTGGGATGACGAGTCCCCAGTGGGATCTTTCGTTTTAGATCTTTCATAGCCCAGAAATATTTCATTAAATTTTAATATAAACCACTATCACTTCAGTAAGCTTTAGTATTAATTTACAAACATGTCAGGAAGACTGGCCAGTACTAAAGAGTGCTAAAGAGATTTATGAAAATCTTCTAAAAATGTATATGAAGCAAATGAGTGAATTCACTTTTCACTCATTTAGGAATCCTCATGGACGCACAGGGTTGACCGGTAGAGGTCTGCTGGGACGATGGGGACCCAATCACGCTGCAGATCCTGTTGTCACCAGGTCGTTTTCTTTGCTATACACATCTTTATTACCCAGGTACTCGCTAACCACAGTTCATTAGATAAAGGAAGTTTTATGTTTCTCTCTGGCAGGTGGAAAGTTGATGCCAAAGGAGCAAAGATACATCACCCTGTCACCAAAAGGCCTATTCTGCAGTTTGTGTCCATCAAGAGGAAGGACTGTGGGGAGTGGGCCATTCCTGGGGTTGGCGAATTTTAAATTTAAATGTTATTCTTTGCAACCTATAACCTCACTTTGTGTCATACACCTGCCAGGAATTCAAGTACAACAAAAATAATTTCACAGCCAAGGCATAGAGTGGGTGGTTTGGGTTACGTAAGATGCCTTGTGTCTGTGACTTGCTTATTTCTTTGTGTGCCATGTGCTCGTGTTGTAGGGGATGGTGGATTCAGGGGAGCAGGTCTCTCTCACGCTGCAGCGGGAGTTCGCGGAGGAAGCGTTAAACTCTCTTTCAGTGTCGCCATCAGAGAAAGCAAAAATCTACGAGCGCATCACCAAACTCTTTAAATCAACAGGGTTTCCGGTGGGCAACTGACAAAGACTCACTTATCACTTTCCGGCCATTATGTTGCCTCTGTCAGGAAAACTAAAATTATTTTTTTTCCTTCAGGTCTATAAAGGGTATGTGGATGATCCTAGAAACACGGATAATGCTTGGATGGAGACAGTTGTGGTTAACTTCCATGATGACTCAGGTATCAATAATTTCTGCATTAAAAATCTAATTCATGCCACAACAGCTTCAGTGATTTATGGACAATTGAAAGAGTGTAGTTCTGAGACATTTTCACTTTGGGGGCAACAAACTGCATTTTTGTGGAACTGTGAGATGTCTCTGTTGTTACCGTAGGCAACAGTGTGAGTGAGCTGCCACTGCAAGCCGGCGATGACGCAGGACAAGTCAAGTGGGCTGATGTTGACTCGTCCTCCACCCTCTATGCAAGCCATTCCCATTTCCTGGAGCTGGTTGCCAAAGAGAGAAAATCCCACTGGTAACCAAACCAAGACTGTTCTGACAAAACCATGAAGGAAACATGAACATGAGCATCACTACTCTCTGAGTGCTGAGAGCGCTTTATGATTAGAATGCATGACACCTAACCTTATGTACCGCACTCATCTTAACATTAAATGTACATTTAAGTTAATGAAACTATAATAAACCCCTCGTTCATGGTACATGATGTACAATGAATGATGGACAATGTGGCTATGCAGCTTTAATCTACTAATGTAGCAGTACTGATGAAATGAATGTAAGACCTCACTCGGGCCTAGAATTAACATCTGTCCTGAGTGATCTGATCACAAGTGGCCAGCGCTAAGTACAGGTCTGAACGCACTAACTCTACATTCAGAGGTTTTGTGAGAAGCATTTGGCCGCATTCATTTATCTGCTTGAACTCAAATATGTCTGCTTACTCAGCTGACGTCCTCTGACCGGTTTTACTATGAATAGAGCAATTTTTTTTTTTTTACACTTCTCAGTGATCATACATTGATATGTTTGTGTCCACTGCCACATTATCAACACTGGTACTTATTGATTGACACTTTTCATAAATTGGTAAAATCTTTCCTCACATTAGAGCTGCACAAGATTCATTCAGGCCCTCCTGAATCCTCTCTCTCTCTCTCCCCCCCCCCTCCCTCTCCCTTCCTTGCTTGCTAGCATTGACACTATAGTCGAGACACACACACACACACACAGATGCATTGGATGCGTCTGTAAACTCCGACTGGCTAAAAACAACATTATTTGGTCAACACAACACAAAATTTACTTTCCAGGATCTGTTAAGATTTGATCACATGGTTTAATACCAGGTATGAAGAGACGAACTTAACACTGACCACTTGTGAACGGATCCCGAAGGAGCAGGTTGAAAGCTTGGCTGCAGTTTGCTCAGACGACGTTGTAAAATGTATGCTGTTTGATTGAAGAATTTTCTTTACAAAAAAGAGACTGAAGGTATAATAGCCAAGATGATGCTCAGTGGCACACTTCACTAAAAGACAAGGCTAACCCCCTTTTTTCCACTGGAACAAATTATGCTAATTTATTCAATGTTAACAAGAATCCCATTAGGCCAGTGAGATCTTGGAAGTAAAATTACAGTGAGCTGCTGAACACATGCAACATTAATGTAAGTGTGATAAGGGGGCAATCAGGAAGAAAAGTGTGTGGACTGATTTTGATGTGTACGTGTTAATAGAAAATGAAGAAGATGTGCTGGAGCTCAGCACGGTCCAGCAGAGCACTGTCGTTGACAGACTGCAGCTAGAGGACAAACACGTTCTCTAGCGGTAACAGTCGGTGGAAGCTAAGGCCATTTCACATTCGACAGCCTGGTCTTTCCAAATGTTCGCACAAGTATGTGTCATCTCACTGGTGGGACATTGAGAATTACGCATCAAGTGGTTTGCATCTGTTAGGATTACTGATACAAACACTTCTGTCATCAAAAGGCCGTCAACAACCAACAGCTGAGCTCATATTAGCTTCAGTGATGAGAGGCAGCTGCATCATCTTATGAATCCAACTTTTTAATAAAGCATGTTTGTTCTCAGGCTGAAAGAACAGATTTCATAATATGTGCCATAAATGTTCTGTATGCTGTGAAGCTACAGAGCATGGCCATTAGGCACTTAGGGGAAATGGAAAAGATTGGGTCTGTAATTGGGTTTATCCAGCTGGAAACTTACAAGAAAAATGTGATTAAATTAGGGGCTAAATTAAAAGCTCTTTTTATTTAGTCTAGTCACTGATCAGGCCTTAACATCTGTCTGTACAACATGATATCCAACAGATTCATGGTATGAAACCATAAGCAGTGAGTGGGGAGGCTCTGCTATTGAAACGTGACATTATATAGTAAAATGTAAAAATCTTTCTTTACATCCATGCAGATGCTCATTCAGATCCAGTGAACATTAATTAACATTAGGAGCACTAATACCTTGGCATTGTGGGAAAATCTCATCTTTAAAACTCAGATTATTAAAAAAGAAATTCTGACAGAAGCTGCACCAAGTTGAACACACTCATAGATATCAGTTCCCCAAATGTGCCTGATTTGGTTCATCATGATCCATGAATTATTTCCTGTGAAATCTGTGAAAATGTTAAAAAAAAAAAGCCCTATAATGTCCTGACTAAAAATGGATCTGCCTTGTACCTGGTCCACACCTACAGATGTCCCCTTCCAAACTTTGCACTGAAGTGTCTGTGTTTTTATTCACTTGAAATATTAAATCCTTAAGAATTCTTGAGTCGATTTGTATTCTTTCATTCCTCACAGAATGTTTTACATTATTACAAAAAAAAACCAATAGAACTGTGTTGATGATTACCTAACTGTTTTTAGTCACATCCTGCTGCTGAACTTTAAGTTTGTATTTACAGTTGTGAAAACCTGTTACAGCTTTATTTTCTTTTTTATCCATTTAGTGTGTGTGTGTGTTCCTGAACTTATATTTTTGTGAGGACCATTTTAAGCATAGATCTTACATTGTGAGGACATTTTAACTGGCCCTCACTTTTTCACTGGGTTGTTTGAGACTTGGTGTTCAGAATCAGAATCAGAATTCCTTTATTTGCTAGGTATGTTTGCACATACAGGAAATTGCCTTGGTTAGAAGTAGGTTTAGTTTAGGTTATGGTTGGGGGCTAGGGAATGTATGATGTCAATGAGTATCATCAGTAAAATAGAAGTACAAACATGTGTGACTATCTATAGCTAAACCATCATAATGAGGACATTATTTCAAATTCAAAGAGCTGTTTGAGGGTTAAGACTTGTAATGCGTGCGTGTGTGTGTGTGTGTGTGTGTGTGTGTGTGTTCATGACCATAATTCCACGGCTGAACTACATTACCCACAAGCACGTGCGTCAGCAGAAGCCGCTCTAAGCTGACGACGTGGCCGCGCTGCGTGTCGATCCCGTGTTTCAACGGACCGGGGCGATTCAAACACCGACACCAGCCGGCTTTGTTCGCGGGGACTTCAGCTTCAGGCTCGGACGACTCTGCGGGAAACTTTAAAACTCCGCCGCCGTGCAACGATGTCCGGGAGGGTCAAGAACCGAAGTGCCGCCAACGCGGAGGCGCTGTCCGGCGGTGTGTCCTGCGACGAGCGCATCTTGAGGGATTGTCACCAACTGTACGCGGACCCCGACAGTGGTGAGACAGATGGGATTCGACCTGTTGTTCGCAAAAAAACATCCGAAATCCACCAGCGACACGTTTGATTTAGTAGTTAAGCTAGCAGAGCTAACTTGGTGGTTAGCTAGCTAAGTTAGTGTGTAACGCCGGGGTAGCAGGGAGCTAATCGTTAGCTAGCTAGTAAGCACGGGCTGTGTGACCTGGATGACGTGCTAGTTACTTGATGAAGCAGCTTTTAGTTAACGATGACACACATGCAGAATTTGCAATGAAGCTCTTGCAGTTTTGTTTTAACAAAGTTTTTACAAGATCTTCGTGTTCCAATAAAGTGAATGAATGTTTGCTTTGAGTGATCCAGTCATTGTATTATAAATCAAAATCAAAAGTAGTTGTCAGTTTCAGCTCTAATCATGTTCTGTGTCTTGTCCAGGGTTGATCACAGTGGCTGAATCTGTTGGTGTGAAGCTGCTGCCGCCCAGGAAAAAGATCACTGTGATGCTGATGGGAAACCACTCTGCTGGGAAAAGCTCCTTCATCAACTGGTAAATATAACGTGTCAGGGAGTCACCTGAGACATCTTCATCAGGGGCGTATTATCTTCTGTGTTTAAAAAGAACAAACATGTGTGAGTATGACACTGACTAATGGAATGCCTAATTAACGTAGTTGAATTGTTAAAATGTTCTTATGAAAACTTAGTAAAAACTGTAAGTGTGACAGAAATATGTTTATAGAAAGACTGACGACACATTGCCGATCCTTTTCTAAAGATTTAACAGGTCTTCTGAGTCTAAACCTGTAAAATCTGCATCAATGTCTGTATCAGGCACTTACTTAATGTGCTGTCAACAAAAACATGGGATCTCCTCAACAGAATTTATGCGTCTTGCATGCACTATCCAGGCGCCATTTTCCTCTTGTTGTGAATGTGTCTGACCCAGATGATCTCCTGCCGCGTTCTTCATGTTTGAAGGGGAAATTATCTGCACCCAATCGTAAAACGGTTTGTGTTTGACTGTGTTCTTTCTTGTCAGGTATGTAGAGGAGCACATCCAGCGCACAGGAGTGGCTATTGAGACTCAAGGCTTCAGCTTTATCACAAGTGGACGGAAGAGAGAATCTCTCACAGTGAGTGCAGCAGGAGCGTTTGTTTGTGAAGTAGATGCATATTTGGTCCAGTGACATTTTTCATTCCCAACATCAGCAATTTTCTTTATAACTTCAACTGTCAATTGCTCACTTTACGTTTAAGTCACTTCTCATGATAGCAGTTAACAACACAAACCTAAATGAGATCTTCTGAAATGATTTCAGTTTGACTGATCTTTATTTTTTCTTCAGGGAAATGCCACCCTTCATCTATATCCACACTTCAAGCCTCTGCAAGAGTTCAAAGGTGAGATTCACCAGTGTCCACGTTGCCCAGGGATTTTCTATATGTTGTCAATTGTCCATCTTCAGCATTTATTCCAACTAACCTATGGAGGATGCACAGTGTGACACCATTCTCACAGTTCTACACAATGAAAATACTGAGCCCACCCTGAGACAAACAGTATTGTTTAATGATAGACTTTGATGTGTCACTTACTGATTTTTTCTGCTCTCTGTTTTGACATCTAGGTGTTTCAGAGTACCTGAGCACAGAGATCTGCACATCACGACAGAAACGGTTCAGCTTGGTGACATTTGTGGATTCGCCAGGTTTGGTGGACGGTGACATGAAGTATCCCTTTGATGTGGACGATGTTATCCTGTGGCTGGGTGTGTTAAAACTCAACTTGGCTACTGTTGTACTGCAGTTATCAAGGCTTTGTGACTGCCAGTGTGGTGACACTGAGTTAATTAAGTTGGATCCAAAATGTTAAATACCGTATGCAGTTCATTAGTACTTTTGTATAATTATAACTGTAACTGTAAATTGTAAGGATTAACTAAAACATCATTCCCTCTGTCACTCTCAGGTGATCTCTGTGACCTGATTCTGGTCTTCTTTGACCCCATGGGTCAGGCTCTGTGCAAGCGCACGCTCAACATCGTGGAGTGTCTGAATGAGAAACACGGGGACCGGCTGCGTTTTTACCTGAGCAAAGCTGACGAGGCTGGGGGAGAGTCCGACAGACAGGTATGCACAGCAACAGCTCATATTAAAAATGTGTTATTAGGTCACGTGTCCGTGTCAAAGGAGTTTCTGTCCCTGTAAGTAAAAAAAAAAAAAAAACTAACTAAAAATCCAGTGCTAATATTGTCTGACTGTAACAGATCAGAGGACAGTTGAAAGAAAATGCACGCTCACTTCTACACAATATAGTAACAGAATTAACTCACAAACTCAATATTGGAATAGACTTCCTCATTCTCTCCTCCTGACTAATTTCTTGTTTTGTCAGAGAGTAATGATGCAGATTGTCCAGGAGCTCTGCAAGCGACCAGGACTCAACAAATGTGGCTTTGACATGCCCACCATCTATATCCCCAATCCTAACAAGGTAAGAGCTGCACTGTCAGTGAGTTTTACATGTTACTGTCAGTTTTCTAAGCTTGTACACCAGCTCCCTTTATTTGTTCCATTCCAAGTAGTTAGTAGTACAGGCTGACATTGAATTCTTCTGTTCTTCTCTTCTTAGCCAAGTCGCTGTGTGAACCAGGTTGAGGAGGTGTGTCGTGCTATCGAGAAAACGATCAACCAAACGGTCCAGAATACCCTCAACTCTCTGGAGAAGGACTGTGAGCTCATCAGTGAGGCCATCACTGACACGCTCAGTAACGACAGGTAACACACACAAAGGCCTTATGTTACAGAAATGTAATATCATCTCATAGAAGCATGGACCTCAGCAGATATACACTGTAGTACACAACATAAACTGTATATAAAGATGGTCAAGGTGATAGCTCTCCAAATGTGAAGCCAAAACATCTCATTTTCCCCCTACTGGCTGGCTGCAGAACTGTCCATAAACCCTGCCTCCTCAACGTTAGTAAATGGGACACAGACCAATCCAAAAAGTCCAAATAAACGTTCGATAAATTTTTCTCAAGGATAGTTGCTGTCATTTTAGGTAGTTGTTATCACACTGATGTGTTTTTAAAGGATTCATTTTTCCAGTAAGTTTGGTTTTAAGTAGTTACTCACGATTGATTGAGTGTGTTTATCGACGAGACCTTTCTACTCCAGCTCCATCCCTGACTTCTACTCAGCAGACTCTGGCTCGCAATCATCTGCACAATATGTCAAAGTGTTCATAGCAAGAATATTTTGGCTTCATTTGGACAGTGGGAGGAAGTGGAGACGCACATCTTTATATAGTCTGATACACAAACAGATGCATCAGTCCTCAATGCTCTCGGAGAATAACTCTGGTCCTCTGCTCTTACAGGCAAACCGCTG